GAGGCCAGAAGACCCGTGCCATCGCACGGTGTCCCTTACCCTAAGGCCAGCGGGGCTGCGTCACTCATCGCTTTACCTCGGTGTTTAGACTGTATATTGAAGCTAGGCGCATCATGACGGTGAGTGGGATTCTTTGGGAGAGGGCTGGCCCGAGGTGGCCATGGATCAATAAGATAGGGGGGGGGGCCGAGCGAATCTACAGGAGAGGCCAGAAGACCCGTGCCATCGCACGGTGTCCCTTACCCTAAGGCCAGCGGGGCTGCGTCACTCATCGCTTTACCTCGGTGTTTAGACTGTATATTGAAGCTAGGCGCATCATGACGGTGAGTGGGATTCTTTGGGAGAGGGCTGGCCCGAGGTGGCCATGGATCAATAAGATAGACCAGGGCCTATGGTGTTCGCGGGCGCAGGAGTCCATGCACGGGCTCTGGTGCACTGACGCCAAGCTCGCACATTCGTGCAGGGTGTTAGGATGTTCTCTACGCCGTTCCAGGCCCCGCGGGCCGTCACAGGCCAGAGGGTCGCCTTCGGTGCCTCGCGCCCGTTGCGCGTTCCCCATCGCCATGCCCTGCGCACCATCCCCCGGGCATCAGTCGCTGACGTAGCACGATACCTGGCGGATGCCGCGGCACAGATATTCAACCCAGCGGAGTCGGATGTCAAATGGGAGGGCACCAGCTCTGGGTTTACAGGTGGGGCCTGCCCCATGGATGGCTGTGCATGGGTCCCTGGACAGGGACACGCCTATTTACCATCCTCAGCCGCTTCATCATTGGAAAACGCGACGTAGGGGAGATCCGGCACCACGATGTGCCGCGTCTGAGGCAGCTGGCCTCTGTGGTGCGACAGGCGCGGAGCGAGATCGAAGGTGGGGCGAGTGATGGGGTTGGGTGTGCTTGAATTTTTGGGGGTCCGGAACTCTGGGCAGTGAGCGAGGGATTGGGGCATGTTGATGTCACGGGCTTACCCATGCTGTTGCGTGCCAGTATATGTCCCAGACCGCAGGTCTCTGGGTGAAGGTAACAGCAGATCGTTACCCTCTGGCCCATTGACACCCCCATTCGCAGGCTGTACGAACCCGGACGCCATCAACTACAACCCCCAGGCGGGGCAGGACGATGGTTCTTGCATTGTTGCCGAGGACGGGCCCCCCGCGCCGGAGGGTGGTCAGGAGCTCCAAGGCTTCATTAGCAAGGCATGCAGCATTGTTTTGAGGGGGCCGCAATGCAAGCCTGGGGGTTGGACAGAGATTTCGGAGGGCAGTCACTTACCTCACACTTGGGGATGCTGGGAAACTGCACAGCACCATGATTCCAGGGCCCAGTGCTCCGGCTTTGCACCGTGTGGAACGATTCACCACCACATTTCACCCACCATTCGACCCCTCGTGGATATGCAGACCATCGCCAACGTGTTCTCCGGGAACTTCAAGGGGGACGACACCGAGCCCAGCTCCTACTCCGGAACAGGTAGGCTCATACTTGGAGAGCAAAGTGTATAAAGTCATCTTGACGGCACCCATCACCCCAAGCAGTGTATTTTTTGTTTCTGAAACTGAGCAAGCGAGTGTCGACCTTCACCCCCGCTCACGACAGGGTACTCATACCGGGGCCGCTCTCAGAGGGACATCCGGCGTCGTGTCGACCGCCTCCAGAAGTTTGAGAGGGTCATTGAACAGGCCATCGAGCGCGCAGAGGAGAAGAAGGAGTCATGATTCATGAATTGATGTGGTTGTAGCTGTGAGGCGCGATTCGAGGAAGAGCCGGCCCCCTGCGCAACCTGGAGGTGCCAAGACTGTGTGCCCTGCCGCTGCCCTTTGGGCTACACGTTGCCCAGAGAAGATGTAATTTTGTGAGGCGTTGAAGGGGCTTGGGTGTCCCAGCAAATGCTGCAAGGGCACGCGGTAGTGCTCTTGGGGACGGGGCGGATGCAGAGCATACACTTGGCGGCAATTTGGGAAGAGGATCGGTCAAGCGGCTGTGCATGGCACCACCGCCTTGGCACCTAGGCTGAGCATCGCCGTTGACCCGAGGGCCTTGCTTGCTCCAAGAGACATCCTCCCTGCCTCACTAGGACTCAGTGCCTGACGCCCCGGCGACTTGAAAGCCCGGGATCGATCCCAGACCCACTCGCTCAAGCCCGCCCGCCTCGTCTGCCTTGCATCGCGCACGTCGGCGGCGACACCGCACTGCAGCGCCCGTTCCAGTCGACCGGGTGCGCACGACGGTCAGTGCGTTACAGGCTGCAGCGGCTCCGCCCGGAGGCTGTCAAAGTCGAGCTGGGCATCCAGCTCCTCGTCCACCTCTCCGATGACAGCTCTGCGGAGAGGGTGATGAGAGGCAGGGTCAGGCGTGGACCTGCGGGCCAGCTCTGCCCTCCAAAGGCTGCAGCGCCCGGTCCCTGCACCCAAACCCCAGTCCCCGCACATGTTGTCGCCACGGATGACGTAGAGGCCTAGCACCAGCTGCTCCACCCCCGCCTTGGAGGAGTAGACGCGCTCGTGACACTCATCCAGGATCAGGTTGCACGTCTGGTCGAAGCCTCGCAGGACGCCCTGGAGGGGGATGGACAGGGGCATGCGGGTGTAGGCATGGAGCTGTCGGACGGCGTCGCCATCAGGATATCCTGGGCGCCACCAGCCAGCACCCAACCTCCCCCAGCTCAGTCCCGGCCTACCACTATGCTGCGACCGTCATTGGTAATCACCGAGATGGTTGCTGCGGTGGGTGGAGGATGCGGGAGTGTGCATGGCCGGGATACGAGAGGAAGGGGATGTAGGCCCCGGCCCCCCTCCCTGGCACTCACTGTCTACATATGGTCGAATGCCCGCCTCGTTGGACATGGTGTGCTGGCTCTCTCCCCTCACCCACACTGCAGTCTATGCGGTGGTGCACCGGAGCTGGCGATATATGGCGTGCAGGGGAGCCCTGGCCGTGGCAGTGTCTCGGACAGAAGTTGCCAGTGGCACAGGCGCGTCCCGATGGGGGATGTAGCCTCGCAGATTATGACTACTGATGCCCCTACGTCAATTTTCAATGTATCTTAACCAGATTTGAGTAGAAGTGCCTTGAACAGAAGCCGTACGTAGATGCTGGGGCGGCATCGACCATCGCGCCCTCTCAATCCCGGTGCGTTTCTGGGTACGACCCTGAGTAGGAGCAGCCCATTTCGACCATGTCTGCCACCTCCAGGCACGTCGCTGCTGTGGATAGCAGTCCTTACAAGACGAAGGAATGCCCAAAATTCTCAAGGAAAGAATCCAAGTGGTCCCCGGTCCAGAGGCATCATGCATGCGCAGCCAGTGCCAGGGCATGGCGGCCGCAGCCCCTCACCCACCCCTCCCCGCCAGATGCAACCACCCACCAATCAGAGCTTTGACCGCGTCTGGGAGGCCTTGCTGGCGACGATGGCCTCGTCCCCGTTGGCGGACGAGGGTGCGGCGTGCTTGCCCGCCGTCTTGGCCGGGCGCTTGATGCCCAGCAGCTCGGCCTGGCGCCGCTTGAGACGCTGGAACTCGGTGCGGACGTAGTCCAGCAGGGTGTTGGGGTAGGATATGGCGGACCACTCCCCCACCGCGCCCCGGTCCCAGCGCGAGATGATGACCTTGTAGGCGGACACGTGGGCCACCAGCTGCAGGAGGCGGGGGTCGATCTCTGCAGACTCCAGAAGGTTCACGTGGTCGACGATGATGTCGGCCGCGCGCTCGTTCAGCGGCTGCATCACATCCTTCATCCAGTGCCTGACGCGGGGGGGCGGGGGAGTTTTTGGGGGAGGGGCCAAGTGCTTGGGTTGGGAGGGGGGTCCCAGAGGTGGGTGCAGGGGTTGACATGTGCTGAGCAGGGCAGCTACCGCTGTGACAAGCAGCCCTCGGTGTTTACCCTGTGCTGTTGCATGTGTGTCTAACCCTCCAGACTTTTACACCCAAAGACGGAGCCACCTCGCAAGAGGCTCCAGAACCCCCTTGCAGGCATGGCAGGCAGGGCCCCCATGGAGGTTCACTCGTTCCATGACATGCGCAAGGATCACCCCCCTCCCAACCCCACCTGTAGGCGGAGCCCTCGTGACCCTTTGGATCCCGGCGCATGGCCGCCAGGAACCCCCCCACCGTGCCGTCGGGCGAGTGCTGGCGCACCATGGCCGCGTAGGCAGCGCGCGAAGCGTGCACGCAGGCCAACAGGGGGCCATACAGCAGGCGGACCTGGTCGTTGATGCGCTGGATCTGGGCCTTGCGCTCATCCGCCTTCTTGGAGTTGTAAAAGGTGAACAGGTAGCCTGAGTGGGATGGGGTGGGGAACCAGAGAGGGGTGCCAGGAAGAGACTGTTACACGACTTCCCAATACTTTCAGACCTAGGAGGCTGGAGACCCAGAACCAACATCTGATTGTGGTGTGGTGAGCAGGAGCCTACCCATTACACCAATCGGGAACTGCATCCTCCCCCCCCCTCCCCCCCCAAAACGTTGTACCAGGGCCCCGCTCACCTCCCAGAGCTGGCAGCACAGCGCTGCGCAGGATGCTCAGGGAGGGCCCATTGTCCTTCATCCACTCCACCGCTTTGCCCGTCAGCACCCGCGGGGTGACAGGGCTTTTTGGCCCCGCCAGCCTGCCTTCGCCGCTGACCTGCGCAGCTACCGCGCGATCCTCAAACAGACGGTTGTGGGTCGGATTGACATCCTGGTTATGCAACCGACCAACTGCACCGCATGACGGATGGGGATGGAGGAGGAAGCTGAGGACCTCACGCTCGCCCTGGTACCATTACGGAGCTCCGGGAGCTGACTCGGCCGCATCTTCCGGCGCCCATGGCATCAGACATGGCAGGAGTAGGTGAGGGTGCCACTGTTCGCTCACCCTTCCAGATCGGGAACCTGATATTACATCAAAATTATCGCGGGTCTCCTCTCGTGGTGAGACTGCCAATTGCATGTTGAAGTCGTCGCAGCGGCACCGACCCTGCCAGGTCAGGCGGCCACCTTGGCCTTCTCGCCCTTGGCTGAGGAGGCCACGATCGTCTCCTGGATGTGCTTGGGCACGACCTCGTAGTTCTCCAGCTGGCGTGATGGAATGCGAGGAGGGAGCGGTGGGAGCGCATGCACCTGGACCAGAGTACCAGCCGTAAAGCTCAAGCATGCACCAAACCCCTCCTGCGTGTTCTGCACCCTGCCTCTCGATGGTGCGAGCGCATGACTCAGCCCCTCACTCATACCTGCATGGTGTACTGTGCACGGCCCTTGCTCATTGACCGCAGGGTGGAGACGTAGTTGAACATCTCCGCCAGGGGCACCAAGGCCTTGATGATCTGTGTACAGAAAGAGGGGGGGAAACACGTGAGATCAGCCATGGGAATGCTTACGCCGCTGTCGAACAGGGAGCTCCAATGTGGTCTGCTGCTCTGTTGTGACTACACCCAGCACGTCTGCCCACCAAGAGGCTCCCATGGATATTCATCTGCAACCCCCATCCCAACCCTTTTCTGGTCTATATTTTGCGAGACTCGGCCCTCCCCCCGCCAATGGCCCCCTCGTCACTTCCGAGCACGCCCTCTGCCCAGGCTTCGCACTCTATCAAGGTGGGGCCCCCCTTCGTCCCTGGCCCACCTTGATGCCGCCCGGCTTGTCCGTGAACTCCTGGACCAGCCCACGGCGCGAGTTCAGGTTGCCGATCACGTCGCCCATGTGATCGTCGGGCGTAACCACCTCCACCTTCATGATGGGCTCCAGCAGCTGGACCCCCGCCTTGCGCATGCCCTCCCGGAAGGCGGCGCGCGCCGCGATCTGGAAGGCCATCACCGAGGAATCCACGTCGTGGTAGGAGCCGTCGTACAGAACTGCACGCACATCCACCACGGGGAAGCCGGCCAGGGACCCGCTTGACATCATCTCCTCCAGGCCCTTTTTGGGGGGGAGGAGGGGGGCAAGGGGGAGGAAGGAGAGGGCTCAGGCCATTGAAGGGGGAAGGAGTGAGTAGGATGCGAGGGCAAGGGCAGACAAGCAGGGGGAGAGGAAAGGAACAGAGGGAACAGTGCTGCAGTCTGGTGGATGTTCTCCCAGAGATGGGTGCCTGAGCGAAGGAGTCAAACACTTCCATTCATCAGATACAGCAAAACCCTCCCAGCCAGCATCAAATCCCTGCTCACTACCGCAACGACAAGGGCGCTGACCTTTCAAAATTCCCTCTCCTTATCCCCTCCCTCACCTTCATGACGCCTGGGATGTACTCCTTGGGGATGGCACCACCCTTGATCTCCGTCTTGAACTCGAAGCCCGACCCGGGCTCCCCAGGCTCAAAGCGGACAGCAATATCTGTTGGTTTGGAGGGACGAGGGACCAGTGAGGGGCGTTGTGTGGCATATCGAGAATGCTTTTATGGAGGCAGTCAAGCTGGGAATGTGATGCCTCAACACACACGGACGCAGGCACGAACGAGCCCTGCATCCAGCAACCTCTGCAAAGTCGAGTGCACGCTGCAAGGCACCCTAAGGGCCTGCGGCTTCCGCACACCCTGCCAGGCAGCTTTCACTCCTGGAGGTCCTCCCTCCCTGCCTCCTGCACCTGCTGTTTCTTAGACGCCCCCCCGCCCCCCACCTCTCCCCCCCCCTCCAAAAAACACAATCCCACCAAGCCCACCCACCTGCAAACTGCCCTGACCCGCCCGACTGCTTCTTGTGCACATAGCGCACGTCGGAGGCCCGGGAGATGCCCTCGCGGTAGTTGACCTGGGGCGCGCCCACATCGCACTCCACACGGAACTCGCGCTTCAGCCGGTCCACGATGATCTCCAGGTGCAGCTCGCCCATGCCCTCGATCACGGTCTGGTTGCTCTCGTGGTCGCGCGAGAAGTGGAAGGAGGGGTCCTCCTGCGCCAGCTTCACCAGCCCCGCCCCCATCTTGTCCAGGTCGGCCTTGGACCGCGGCTCGATGGCCACCTTGATGACGGGGTCGGGGAACTCCATCCGCTCAAGCAGGATGGGCGCCCGGTCGTCGCACAGCGTGTCCCCTGTCACCACGTCCTGTGTGATGGTGGGGGGGGGTTAGGAAAGGGAGAATGTCCGGATGAGAAAAGGGAGGGATATCCACGTGGGGGTCCCAGATGCTGGGGAGGCCCGGCGTCGCAGAGTTCTGCCCATTCTATCAGATGTTCACTTCTAACTAAGCTGCGACCCTGTCATGCGCTGCTCCCGCAAGCACAGCGTGCCCTGCCTTCCGAAGTGGGCAACCAAGGGCTTCCAGAATGTGTCTAAAACCTCCCTTCCCGACACAAGCTTGGCCCTGCTCTTACCCATCCACCCACCCACCCCACCCCACCCCCACCCGCCCACCCACCTTGAGCCCCGCTACAGCAACAATGTCGCCGGCGTAGGCGTACTTCACGTCCTCCCGCGAGTTGGCGTGCATCTCCATGAGCCGACCGATGCGCTCCTTCTTCTCCCTCGCCGCGTTGAGCACGTACGTGCCGGCCTGGCGAGAGCAAAAGAGGGGAGAGCATTCCAGGACTGGGATTACAAGAACATGGTCATCCTCTCAGACGGGCAAATGGTGGAGCCCAGCAGGTGCAGGACCCCAGGCGGCTGCAGGCGCGAGATTGGGAGCACCAAGGGCCTGGCCAGCAGACTCATTCGCTTGGTCATCAGCTGCCCACCCGGCCATCTCTCTCACCTCCAGGGTGCCGGAGTAGATGCGAATGAAGGAGAGGGAGCCCACAAAGGGGTCACTCATGATCTTGAAGGCCAGGGCGGAGAAGGGGGCGTCGTCGCTCGCCGGGCGGCTCATCTCCTGTGAGTGCATCCCGGGGGGGGGGCGTCAGGGGGGTGAGCATGCTGGCTGCGTGTGCTTGGGCCTGATGCCAGGAGGACATCCACCCTGCAGGCCTTGCGTGCAGCGCTGGGAGCATGTCAAGCCCTCAGTGATCACACGCGACCACTGTTGCATCTTCTTCGGCAGCTTAGACTGTACCCCACAAACAACCTATCCCCCCCTTGACTGAAGGCTGGTCCCAGCAAACACACTCTCGGCGGCCCCCCCTGACCTTTTCGGCGACCTCGACGTCCGAGCCGCGGACATCTGGGAGGTCCAGCGGGGAGGGCAGGTACCTGATGACTGCATCGAGCAGCGGCTGCACCCCCTTGTTCTTGAAGGCTGCGGTGAGGGGCAGGCACGCCGTGGCTTGGTTTGAGGAGCCTGGCAGCACTGTTCACAGCAGGAACGACAACAGTAACAGGGGCAATTGGGGCGCTGATCTGCGCCCCTCGCCGTGCGCTCAAAGAGCAGTCGGCAATCTCTACTGCCCTGATCTCCAAACACCACCCGCACCTGAGCCGCAGGTCAACGGGACAACCTTGTTCGCGATGGTGCCCTTCCTGATCAGCTTGTGGATGGTCTCCTCGTCGGGGAGCTCGCCCTGCAAGGCATACATAGGCAGAAAGTAGGGAAAACTTTGAGGGTGCGAGCCAACACTTAGACAGCCATCAGACTCAGTGCCGGCACGGCCCCAGTGCTTTGCTCAGGACAGCTGCGAGTCCAAGGCCCCTCTACCCCTCTTCCTCCCACGACCACCAATTCCCTCACATCCAGGTATGCCATCATTGCGTCATCGTCCAGCTCCACCACCCTTTCCACCAGCTTCTCGCGGTACTCGGCCGCCAGCTCCTTCATGTCCTCCGGCACCTCCTCGACGTTCCAGCTCGCACCCAGCTCCTGCGAGGGAGGGGCAGGTGAGGGGGAGGGTTTGATGTGCGAGCTATGAGGCAGCGGGGACCTTGTACCTCGACGCTTGGAGTTTCAGTAACGCACATGCCCTGACAATGCAGCAGGAGGGCGAAATCCCAGCACCTGGGTCAGGCAGAGTGTGGATTCGTCGCCCCTGCACCGACCCTCACGAGCATTCTCAGAGAACGCCACACACCTCGCCGTTCCAGACGAGCGCCTTGTTGGAGATGAGGTCGATCACACCCGCAAAGTTCTCCTCCTCCCCGATGGGCAGCTGGATGACCAGGGGGTCGCAACCCAGGTTGGAAATCATCTGCAGGGATGGGACCACGATCATCCATCAGTACAGCAGCGGCGGCGTGTGTGCTCGAGGTGTGCAGGGTTGATGGGTCTGCAGGTCAGAAGGCGAGTACCAACCCAGGCGTGTGCAGCGCATGCGAATGCTGCGCGCGTGGGCCATCAGTGCAACACCGCTGGCGTGTGGTCCTTCTCATTGCAATGGGCGCTGCATGCCCTCTCCTCATGCGCATGACAGAAACAATCCTCCAAAATCCCAGCGCACCCCCTCCCACCCCTTCCCCTCACCGTATCCCGGGTCCGGTAGAAGTTGGCGCCCATGCGATCCATCTTGTTGACAAAGCAGAGCCTCGGGACATTGTACTTGTTGGCCTGGGGATTGGGGTGGCAAATGTAGATTTAGAAATGAGTGATGAGCTTCAGGTCATTCGACAAATCCCACGACCCACCCCTCCCGCTCACGTGGTCGTTAACCCCCCACCCCCCCCCTCCGACGCCTCACCTGCCTCCACACCGTCTCCGACTGCGGCTCCACCCCCGCCACAGAGTCAAACACGGCCACCGCGCCGTCCAGGACTCGCAGGGCACGCTCCACCTGGAGCAGTACCGGGAGAGATGGCAGGTACACGAGGGGACAAGGGATCCAGGCCAGTGCCAAAGGATTATGCAGCCAGGGGGGAATCTTTCCTCTGCACGCCGCCCCAGCTACCCCCAGGGACACTCCGACCCAGCTTCCCCCAGCGCCAGCATGTAAGCTTCCCCCCTTCTAGCTTTCCACAAGCCCGTCCCTTCCCACCTCCAGCGTGAAGTCAACGTGGCCGGGGGTGTCGATGATGTTGATACGGTGCCCCTTCCAGTGACATGTGGTGGCCGCCGAGGTGATGGTGATGCCGCGCTCCTGGGAAGTGCAGGCGGAGTGGAGTGCATCGGGGGGAAGGAATCCGGCCACAGCACCTCGATCGATGCAACTTGATCCCCTCTGCAATCTGGTCGCGGATCGATTCTCCTCTGCCATCTCATCGGTCAGCAACGACCTCCCTCTACGACTGCCGCCGCAGGGAATCTCACCCCACCGCCTGCCCCACACCTCACACCTGCTCCTGCTCCATCCAGTCCATCGTCGCCGTGCCCTCGTGCACCTCTCCAATCTTATAAGACTTGCCCGTGTAGAACAGCACCCGCTCAGTGGTGGTGGTCTGCAGGGGGTCCCAGGGCTTGCAGTCAGGCAGGTCTCAAGCAGGATCAAAAGAATGGGCAGTGCCCTTGCAGGGCATTCACACGGGGCCAGGTCCCAGGCACCCCCCCCTCACCTTCCCCGCGTCGATGTGTGCCATGATGCCAATGTTCCTGTACATATCCAGGGGAAAGGCGCGCTTTCCGCCACCTGCTGCAGCAGACACACACATGCCTCGGGCGCGGCCAGCCACCATGCCGGACGCAGGCCGGAGGAGCGCCCGCGACACCTGTGGGCATGCAGCGGAATGGGCGTCACCAAGGGGAGGCCACATGCACCTAGCATCAGGGCATCTGTCGAAAGTACAGACATCCGGCATAAAGAGATCACCTTTGGGGCGGCGACACTGTGAGTGAAGCTGAGATGCCTGCGCGTCAGGGTGTGTGGTGCCACAGTCGCACATCCCACCGGCGTCGACCTCAGCCCCACACCTCCAGGTGTACAGACCGTCATCGCAGACATACTGCTGTCCAGATATAGTACTGGATGCTTTCGGCAAGGTTTGGGAGCCCCGAATGTGGTCCACCCCTGTGAAATGCATGCATCACTGGCTGTTCTGAGGTCGGGATAAGGGGTCGTCGCAGGAGCAGCACGCCCACACACGTGGGGGGTGGGGGGCCCTCTCGCCCGAGGCAGGCCAGGAGCCGAAAGAACGTAGCCATTAACCTCCGCTGCACGCATGGTTAGCTCCTGCACAAAACCACATCTCGGCCCCTAGGAACTGGCTCTGATAGTCGCTCTCTGCCAATGTGGGCCCTGCCCGAAATATCTAGCAGCTGACCCGCGTCATGCCGATGAATGTGTGCGCCCCCAGCTGCGTGACGGCGAGGCTGGGACGATATCCAGTGATTTGGACCACCTTGGCACACGGTTTGAAGGCTTTCGAAAGCCGAAGTCGGCAGGGCAGACCTCCCGCCGTGCAGCGCAGTCCACCCGCCGTGATCTGCCGGAGCAGTACGATCAACACAAACACACTTGTGGCCGTTCCGGAACTCGACCTATCCCGGATCGTGAGCTTGATAGACCTCTGGGATGGCCTTTTGCCCAAAGATCGCGCAAGGGACACGGTCGCTATGAGACTATGGTACGTATCGCCTCTGGCGGTCAGCTTCTGGTGGGAGAGGATGGCCACCTGTGTGTGATCCAGGAGCGTAGCCTTGTTTTTAGTCCTCTCAGTGCGCAGATACCCCATTCCAATACCCCGAAATGGCGTCCTGACCTGACTTTGTTCCCATGACTTGTCAAAGGTCGGAGATCGAAGCCTTAGCGCCAGCTCATCGTTGCCGTCTGATAGATTCTTTGTCGGCCAGGTGTGGTGGCGGGTGGGTTGGCTGTCTGTCCCCTCACACTTACTATTCTTCATTTTAAAAACCACGCAGAGGCTTGAGCAGGTTCTATCGCCGGCTCACCTCCCACTGGCGCCCCTTTGTCACTGCTTCGCAGCGACATCGTGTGCCTCTGGCATTTGAGTGGTCAGCATTCCTACGCCCCCTCTGTCAATCCTCCGGTCACGCTCCATAGCCTCATGCTCGACTCGCCTGAGAAGGTACGTGTCAGCAGGCAGCCCGAGTACCTGAGCCAGGGAGCCCCTGGTGGGTCTGCGACGAACGCCATGCTGCCCGTGCCCCTCAAACCAGCTAAAGGCACCTGATGCACGCTTTCTCGCGACTGGCCGAGGTTCCCAACCCCCTTCCTCCTTCCGGCCCAGCAGATCACTACGTTCCAAGCAATCGCCGCGCTGCCGACCATGGGCACCATGCGACTGCGCCACACCTTCCAGCACGACCCCGACTCCCAGCAGCTGGTGGGGAGGCTGATGCTGGGCACGAAGCGGCGACCCTACCCCCTGCCATGCCAGGCTCATGTTGGGCGGGCCAGCATCCTGGGTAGGTGTAAGGGGGGGGGGAGGACATGCTCCTACCGGACCACATTCCATTTGGCCAAAAGGGTTTGGTATCCTGTGCTCCCTGCACTGCCTCAGGCACGGCACTTCTGAGCAGGCCCGCCGGCACCCCGCCGCTTCAGGTGGCCGAGAGGAGTGCGAGCTCACGCTGGCCTACGTGGCCGACGAGGACCATGCCGCGGGCGAGACGTGCCCCCTGTATAGGAGTGGGCTGGCCTTTGGCCGGCAGTTCGGGCCCGGGTGTGTGGTTCTGCAGGCCTACCTGGCTGAGAAGGTGCACCGCTCCTGCTGGCCTCCGTGGCATGTCGTCATGATCCGGGAGGCCTGATCGAAGTGCGCCGTCGAGTTTACCGGAAACCCTTCGTATTACACGAACCCTTCAGATCCATGCCTTGGATGCCAGTTTTGACACCTGACCCCGCTGCTTATGTAAATCGGCGTTGCACTTCCAGACCCCACCTGGCAGACCTCAATCTGTTGCCGGCCGTTGCATGGGACGAGAAAGGCCGATGGATCAGTAGCAGTACGCAGCTGCGAGCCATGCCTCTGGCCTTGCATGCCCGGAGGTGTTTCTGAAGCGTCGGATGCCGGGCTTGTTCGAGGATTCGCATCGCCGACGGGGTCACGGTCGCGCCGTGTCCTGGTGTCCAACCCTGACAGCCAGCCTTGGAGTCAATGCTGCCCTCGCAATCCTCCTGATCATCCTCGCACTGAGATCCCGGGGTGGTCTTGGCCCCGATACGATCGACCTCAACAAGAGGCTGCTGTTGGCGGAGGAGGGGCTGGAACGACTGCGTGCAGGGAAGCCAAGCCAAGCCAGTGGGGGGGGGGGATCCCGGCCCCCCTGGCTCACCATCGGCATCCCCACGGTGCCCAGGCGCCAGACTGGAACCAAGTACCTCCAGCGCACCTTGGAGACCCTGCTGGACGAGCTGCCTGGCGGGGAGGAGGGTGAGGCGGGGTCGGTGCATGAGGTGTCGGTGCAGTGGGGGTGGGCGGGGAGGGGGAGGGGCAAAGGGTACTGCACTCCGAGGAGGGAGCCCCGTCCTTGACAGGAGGCCCGGCAGCGCTCAGAGATCGACAGCGCGAGCGGTTTCAACAATGTGTGACACCCTCCCCCGTCCCTTTACCCCATTCCTCCTGCAGACCTGTGGCGAAACGAGGTGTCGGTGCTGGTGATGAATAATGCGCCTGGGGAGCACGCGGAGTTTGAGGAGCTGCGCCGCCGGGCCGCCACGGGCACCGACCGCTTCTCCCTGAAAGCGCGGCACTACGTCACCTGGCTGAACAACCCCGGCCTCGTCGCCGACCCCACCCCCGACGCCGCCGACCCGGACGACCTGCACAACCCCGACGACCGCCCGGGCAGGTGCTGAACGGTGGCCGGGGTCGTCGGTCCCGGGGGGGCCATACCTGGGACCCCGCTCCCCGCCAGGCGCAGCTGGAGGCCTGCCCCTTGGACATGGCACTGGCCCAGGATCCCTGCCCACGACTCCCTCACCAGCGCACACCATCACTCGCCCTGCAGGCAGGTGAGGAAGCAGACCTGCGACCTCATCGCTCTGCTGCGCCATGCCGCCCCACTCTCCCGCTACTACTTCTTCATGGAGGTGGGGGTTGCAGACGGAGGGGCTCCTCCAGCGTGGGGTTGTGTGATGCAGAGGGCTCGCCGCAATGCATTTTTCCGGATATACCCCGAGCCTTCTATGTGGGACCTCTGGCCTGTGACTGCTGGGTCTTGGCGTGGCTGTCCAGGGTCACACCAGTGTGCGCTGTTACACACCTCCCCTCCCCACTCAATCCGCTCCCCCACCAGGATGACTTCGAGGTGTGCCCCTTTGCGCTGCGGGCCTTGCACACGGCGGCGGTGAAGGCCAATGCGCAGCGGGAGTCCAAGGGGTGGGTGGCGCTCCGGGTCTCCTACGGCATGAACGGCGTGCTGATGCACAACGCCGACATCCCCGACCTCGTGGATTACCTCTGGTGCGGCGTTTGATGGGCGCTGCAGGGCGGGAGGGGTTGCGTGGCGGGGGAGCTTTGGGTTCTGGGGGCCCTCTGCATGACTCCAGCTGATTACCAACCCTACGGTGGCCTGCAACCCTTTTCTCCTCCTCTTGGTAGGCCCCTCTGCTCTCGCCTTCTGTGCCTTCTCTGCATACATTACGCTCGGTCGTCCCACCCCTCCTCCCTTTTCTCAGGCGACACGTGACGCGCAAGCCACCCGACCTGCTGTGGGCGGAGTGGGTTGCACTGCAGGCCAGGGCCCGACCACCCCGCCCCTATGCCGTGTACAGGTGCGGAGGGCGCCCTGATGTCTCTTGTCCATTGACCCCGGCAGGTCACACCTGGTTAGCCGATCGCTGCCATGCAGTTTGGGGCGCTGCAGCTGCAGCTGATGCTCCCCCCCACCCCTCGCGCTCCAAGGCTCCACATCCCATGCGCCGCACTGCCAGGTACAACGTGCTGAACCACTTGGGAGCCATCTCCAGCTTTGCCGTCCGCCCCGACCGCCCCGGCTGGCCCGGTTGCTGGGCACCCATGTCCTCCGTGTGGAGCCTGGCCCTGTCTGAGCGGTACAACCGCCGGTGCCGGGACGTGTCGGACGTGTCGCCATGCGCAACGCGGCCCAGGGGCAGGGCCTCCCTGCGCGACCAGAGAGTGAGCGTGTGTGTTTCAGGGAGGAGTCGGAATTCTGCGCAGTGTCTGCCGTGCTGGGTGTGGTGGGCCCTGCTGCAAAGCTGCCTCCAGGGAGGAGAAGGCGGGGTCCGAGCACAGCATACAGTATACAGTCACATCTCGATGGAAGGCAGGATCCCAACGCTCCAAGTTTCACTACTCGGACTCCAAGGCCCCTACTGCCACCCCTGTCCAGGGGCTGCCGCTGGAGCCGGATGGTCTGGAGCCCTGGATGAGCCACCAGGTAAACTGGACGGCACCGGTTCTGCCACGCACCTAAGCAACCTTGGCTCTACGCCGGGACCGATCAGGCGTCTGGGCCCTGCTTGCCGGGACACCGGCGCTTTTGATTGTGGTGATCTCCCCCCTCCCAGAGCCTCAGTCAGGGGCTGAAAAGGATTGCTCATTACAGTTCAGTATGCATGAACGTAGATATAGGTGGGACGGGAGCGTCTATCACACCAACGCAAACATGAAAGGCTTACGCAAGGAGGTATCGGGGGAGAACACAGCTTGCAAGATGGGGTAAAACATGTGGAGCCAGGCAGGGAGGGCATGCTCGGGAGCCGCGCAGGCAGCAGTCACATGCTCTCGACGCCTGCGTCAAGCCACCGCCAGCTTGGCCATGTCCCTGCCTGGAGAATCCCCCAAGGGGTGGGAAGACCAGCAAACATGTGTCCATGCCTCGAGTGCGATCCAATGGGGACTTGGCATGTTCAGACAAAGATGTTGCCAGGAAAGGTGTAGTGCTGGGCCCCCACGAATCCGAAAGACGGGCAGAGAGCATGCCCGGAGGAGCAGGGTTCCTCCCTCCCACCCACCCAGGTGGTGGTGTGGAGAGGGGAGGGTTCCCCAGCATGGAGTGTGCCCCCTTGCAAGGCCGCATTGTCAGCAAGGGCACGGGAAATGGGTTTGGGAGAGGAGCCTGGGACGGAGACATCAGAGGAGAGAGAGGGATCAGCCACATATAAATCGCAGGGGAGCAGGAGCGCTTGCTCCCCACGTCTGGTGAGGTGATGTTATGTCCATGAGCAGGGTGCAGACAGGGAAGGAGACTGGGGGTGGGGGCGTGGGGTGCGGTGCTCGGTGAAGGGGCTAGCCATCTCAACCACGGGCTGCCATCCGCATTCCATGGGAGTCGCAAATGGAGAGAGAAAAGAAGCCAAGGAATGGATCACCCTGCGGATGCACTGGGTGCATCACCTGCAAGACAGTGGGGCGGGACAGGGCGGGTGAAGTGCCGCGGAGAGGGGTGCGCAGGGGCGATAGTCTTGGGTCTCCCGCGATGCACTCCCGCACCGTTGGCAACATGCTATCACAGTAGGGCCTGACTCCCCACTGAGGCAGACACCTTTTTGATGGGCGCGCATCAACCTCCTCCCCATGCACTGTGAGCACCCCCGAGAATTCCTCCCCCACCCCCCACCAGGGGAGACTGCCCCTACCTTGCAGGGTGTGGGGCAAGGTGTCTAAATACCAGCACGGCCTTCAATGCCAGGCCTCCTGTCCATGGCCGCTGCTCTGCTGCAGGCCAAGCGCAGCGGCCACGTCCCACGGCGCGGCGGCCTGCGGGCCTGGCGCCGCCGGTATATGAAGTTTTTTACTTATTTCA